GTTTGTTTTTAGAACCCTTTGACAATCATCTTTAGCAGATCCCAGCCTCCACCAACACGTGTCTGACCTTTGTGAAGGTGCAGCTTCTCTCATCTTCAGATGTTCTGCAGATTAACCTCTGAGAACATGAGTGCACTTTATTTTTTCTTCTTTATGGAAACAAGAGAACTTTCCCTCAAGCAAAACCCATCAGAGGCAGATCTACTCAATGCTAATCAAAGCACTGCAGACCAGTACAGACCTTCATTGTGGCTAACGGCTCCCAGAAGCTCTTGATCAGTTGCTGAACTCAATTATTTCAGTTTTCATGACTGGTTGAGTGGGTGAGGCATACAGCAGGACACTAAAACATCTCATTTATCTGGACCCTGTGCAGATGTTAGCCCACCAGGCAGCTAGTTTGTTATAAATGGAAATAAGAAGCTTCTGGTCGTTCTGAATCTACAATGGTTTAGTCTGGACCTTCCTCACCTGAAGCTGGCTGGGAGCCCTGCAGCGTCAAGACGAAGGTGATGAAGACTCTCGGCCACATGGCGGTTACATCAGAAAGCTACCATCGCTGCTCTACCATCGGGACATAAAGGTACAAAGTGTCCAGCACTCCCCCGCCACCGCTAGGCTCCTGTTGGTCACATGGAGAGACCTGCGGTGATGAAACACTAACTGACCCATGCCCTCAGGTTCAAGAGCGTAAAGATCTGTTGTTCATAAATCTGTTGACCAAATTCAGCAAATCAATGCCTCTCCTGGGACTGATATAGATATCAAACAATTAGACCAACGAAGGAGGCAAAGGGTGAAATCTGGATCTGACCTCCTGGCAGAAGGTATAAGAAGAACCAAGATATGGGAATGAAAACACTTTTATTTGCTCTGTGCTGAAAACTGAGAAGCGTTCCAATCTGCCTGCCTGCTGAGAACCTTTGCCCCCCCCCCAAAAAAAAGAAAAAAAAAATCTAATGTTTAGCAATAGTTTACTTTAAGGTCAGTCATATGATCTGATTCTCAAACAGCAGTGCTGTGGCGCCCTCTGCTGGTGAACCAAAGACCATTTGTATCCAGTGTCGCCACTGAAAATAAAAACCATAATTTCAGGGTCTGAATCTTCTATAAACCTGCCTGTAGAAATTATACAGACTTCAGTAAAGACCGCCTCAGATCCTGGTTTATTGTGTGATTTTTAAGATTACGTCATTGGCTGTGCATAAAGGACAACTGATGCACATCAAATTTACACTGGCCAGTGGGGAGGCCAGTGGGGTGGCCAGTGGGG